CCAGTGTAGACAAAGTAGAAGAGGGCACAGGCGCAGTATTTTAATCATTCTTTAAAACAAGGGTTCTTTTGGGTTCCTGATTACAGAAATAGATCACAGTTCCTAACTGATCAAGGTTTTACACGTCAAACAAAGACAAAGTCTTGCATATCCTTTTTCCATCAAAAAGGATGCAAAAGATGATGCAGCCAAGTGTAGGTTTCCATTAGCTACTGAGTATGTGACTCTTTGAGGGGTATCTCAATAAGAACTTCTCTTCAGAGCAGAAGAAACATTTTCTCACTCTGATAACTGGAGAATTACTGAAATGGGGACATCACAAGACCCAAGAAAGCAGAAGTTGAGCAAGTGGGAAGGAAAGCTATTTGTAGTTTATATGCAACTTTTTCAATGACACCCATTTAATTTTAATCACTAAATTAACTTTTTGAAAAAACAAGAGCTTCCTTAAGGATTCTGCTCCTTTCAGTTAACATGTAAACAGCCCTGAAAGCTCTCAGAGATCCATAGCAAAGCCAGGGAATGTCACAAAAACAAACTGGAAAAGAAAAACATCTTTAGGCCTTCTTTATCCATCAGCAAGAAGCAGCAAACGGCACAGGCACAATATTTTAATCATCCTTTGCAGGTTACCTTTAAAACAAGGGCTCTATTGGGCTCCTAATTACAGAAATGGATCGCAGTTCCTACCTGATCAGTGTTTTAAAGGTCAACCAACACAGCTCCGAACCAATAGGTTAGGGATTGAAACAAGTTATCAGGGAATGAGGGGAAGTTGGCATGACCTCTGTCTGTGCCATACCTTCTCTCTGAGGGCACGTCTAGACTTGCTTTCACTTTCGAAAGAAGATATGCAAATTCCCTTTTTCAAAATAACCATGTAAACCTCTTTTTTTTTTTTTAGGAAGAACAGTTCTTTCAAAAAAGGGGTTTCTCGAAAGAACTGTGTCTAGACTACTTTATTTTTCGAAAGAACCTCTTTTGAAAAAGCGATTGGAAGAACATATGCAAATTTGAAAGTGAAAGCAAGTCTAGACATGCCTTTGAGAGTGGGGAATAGTATGTCCCATCATCCCAATTCAATAAACAGGCTTTTAAAAGACACATTGCCTACATCTTGTCACTGTTTGGGGAGTGAGTATTCAGGCTGTGCTAAAGGTTTTGTTTGATTCCTTCCTTGAAGACCGTGTTCCTGCCCTTCTCTCTTTCTGCAGCTTCCTTGACAAGAACTATATTAACTTAGCTGGTCCTGCATCTTTGCTCTTCACTGGGAAATGCACAAGTGAGCCAGTCAGTAAAAGACTGAACTACAAGATCATCTCCTTTCCGTGCTGTTGTTTAAGTTCCCCATCTGCAGCCAGCCATTAAGCCCACTGGCCCCTAGGTCAAACAACTGACCAGAAAGCAAACAGCTGAGGGTCCGCTCAGCTCTCACTCAGCATGTGCTCCTAAAGGGCATGCTCCTAATCAGGCCCTTTGGAGTGGCTGGACCCGCTTGACCCAATTTGTGAGGTTTGGATGGGTCCCATAGAGCAGCGATTTTCCACTTCAAGTTGTTGATCTGACCCACAATCTGTGGGTCACTGGAGAGGTGTGAGCCAGCGTTCTGAACTCTGAACCCCCCCCAGGAGCTAACAAAAACAGAGCGGGTGGAGGGAGGGAAGAATTTCATTAGGTCCTGTGCCAAGAGAAAATGCAGAGTTGTTTTGCTTCTACTCAGAAATGAACACCATGTCCAAGGGGCTGCAATTACAAAGGTGTTTGGTTTGGCTTATGGGGTTTCTTTTAAAGAAAAGTAATAACACACACAAGCAGACAATATAAGGTCAGATGAAAATTGAGGTGTTTCAAAGTAGCAATGCATTCACCTCTGGAATCACCATTCCTGGAAATTGCCCCCACTTCTTCCTTTACTCTTGTGAGGGCAGCTCTTCCTGGGAACGACATTTAAGATGCCGCAGGTTGGTGTGTGAGTCGGAGGAGTGTAGAGGCTTAAAAAGCTGATTTTTTTTTTTTGTGCCCTTATACAAAATAAGTCTTACACATTTTTAACTGCTGGTTAATGTTAACATGAGGTAGGGAGTGGAGGCTCCAAACAGTACTTTGAACCACTCTCTGGCTCCCTTTAATGCCAGCAGCCTGGATCTGAGAGCAAATCACACATAATAATCTAACAAGCATGAAGTGGGGGGAGGGGAGTAGTAGAAACATGGAGCATAAGGCCAGAAGGGATCATAAGATGATCTAGAATGAATCATCAGGGAACAGTTCAGTTTCACCATCCAGGGCTTATTAGAAATAGGAACAATGGCTTGGGTCATCCCTGAGGAAGGGATCCAGGCAAGGGGGCTAACACATCCACAAAGAATTCTTTGTTGAGTTTTCCTCCGATCGTTCTCCTTGAGGCTTGCCAGCAACGCAGACTTGCCAGGGCTCCGATAGCCTCCCCAGGCCTGGCCCACAGAGACGACTTTTAAGTGTGCGCTGCTTTTATCCAAAGTGTGGAGGAAGTTGCAGAAATAGTAACACGCTGGCTTTTCCAAAGGGTCTCTCGGAGTGGAATCATGCCTGACCCCGTCCGTTCCTTCCCATCCTCCAACTGACAGTCCCTGGCCCCACAGGCATAGCTCATCCATTTGTACTCACCCCCCAAAGAGGGACTTCCCCTCTGCATGGGGAAAATTGGCCATCAAACCTCATTTCAGTACTTCTGTGGTTGAATCTGGATTCTTCATTCCCAAATGTTACTCTGTCACACGTCTGAAAAGAAGCCATTCCCTCTCTGTCCAAAGCCTCCTCTCCTCCTCCCCTCTGTGTGGACACATAACGTGCTGCCTTTGCCATCCAGACCCTTGAAGAGTAAAGAGACACGAGGGTGCAAGCAGTGATGCATGACTGCTTGTTCCCAGAGCAGCTGTCATTGCAGCTTTGACAGAATCTGGTTCCCACCCATTACATTTAAAATACTTTAACATCATGAGTTCAGCTTTGTATCAAGGGTTCAATTCAAAATGGCTCAGGCTCCCACTGGGCTGTGCATCTGTCCTAGGCACATTTGCATCATTTAGAGTTTTTTAAAAACACAATTAGTAATATTTCTGTCTTAATGAGAACAGCTAAGAAAAATGATATTGAAACATATGAGCATTAGCTTGATGAACACCCTTTTCTCTCGGATCTTGGAAACAAATGCCAAGTATGACACACACGCGTTTGTTCCCTTTATTACTTGAGTTACAACTGCTTCAGCTTTTAATTCCTCTTGCACATACTGACAAGCTTCCAGTAGCCATGCACAGTGTGGCTGGCTCGTCATCATTCTCACCCCCTCTGATAGAAACACCCAGAGCAGTCCTGCGGCTTGCTGCGGAAGTGAGACTTTGTGGCCAGGCCTATGTGTGAGAGTAGACGCGCCAGTTGTCTGAACACATGTGGGTTAAGAGTCCTTTTAGTATCTCAGAGGGTGGCTTCGGCCTCTTCAGCACTTTGCCTGGACTGTCTCCTGAACAAACCAGGAGTGTCTGTCTTTTATAATGTTGTGTTTTTAAAGCAAAAAGTCTCTGGGGACCATCGGGTCCTAAAAGTCCAAGGCCTGGAATTCTTCCTTTCTCTCTTTCCATTTTAAACAGGAAACATTTGCACTAAGCGATTCCAGGGGGAGTGTTGTAGGTTCATTTCAAGGCAGATAATGTTTGTTCATTGCCTATGTCTGTGATTTACCCCATGGGCTTAAACGAGTGCAGCAGAAAAACACATGTTGTGTTTCACTTCATACAAAACAATTTTCGATGGCATCTGGGAGGGGAGCATGGGTTAAGAAATGAGAGGCAGGCTTATAAAAGCACAGTGTGAGAAGAGAGGACTTGGTGGAGGAAGTGCAAGTCATCAGCAGCCAGTTGGACACCTCATATCTTTTACAATAGAGATTAGCTTAATAAATCCACATCAATGTATTTAAAGAAACAGCTGATGAGTTCAGTCCTGTGCCCCAGAGCAGGTGTTACTGATTCACATTTTCAGACTTCTCTTTGGGTTAGAATACCTGAAGCCTTCCTTGGGCTTCTACTCAGGCAAAAAATTCCACTGAAGTCAATGGAAGTTTTTGCCCTAGTGAAGTATAAGGACATTTGCAGCCACGATGGTAAAACTGCTAATTGTGCTGACCTGTAAGAGATGCTGCGGTGACATATCTATGCACAAGGATTATTTTTGCCTTTTAGAAGTATCACACATTAAACTGCTGAGGAGAACTAGCAATCCCTCATTAGCGTAAATCATGGAATTTAAGACAGAAAGGTACAAGAGGACTTTATAGAACATCCGCTGGGATTACATAATCACGTGCTGCTTTTCACATGCACCAGCGCTTGCCAAACCCTTATGGATGCAGACAAGTTACAGAACAGGCTTAACATCAGACTCTCCAACTCACAGGGGGGTTTTGAAACCTCACTGGCGGCTAGCCCATTAAACACAAATACTGTATCCTAACAGCCCTGGTGTTTCTTCCAGGAGTTCCAAAATTTCCCACTACAGTGTTTTGAGAATTTCACAGTCTGACATATTAGAAGAAAAAAGTGAGCCAAGGCTGGAAGGTGTGATTATTTGTGCACAGAAGGCTTACGGGATTTGCAAAGCTGTAGCCCAAACTCATCTGTTTATCCTCAGGCTAGATAAGACACAATCATACACACATTGTTTAAAGGTCTTTGTTTCCATTATGGCAAATGGATGAAAGGAGGCCAGCTTTGTGAGTTGAAGGGCTCTTCCTTTGTTGATGAGCCATGATGATCGCAGGACCCCTGCGCCCAGTGTCCTGTGTATTAGAGATACTGCAGCATGCAGCTGGGAGGGTTTTTTCACTCTCTAGCTCTGCTTTGACTCATCAGGTCAAGTCACTGGTATTTCCTGTCCCACATTAAATGCAGAACTTTAACTACAGTGTGTTGCTGGCTTGGAATTTTGCTTTATTTATCTAGATGTATTTTCTTCCTCCCCAGGTGTGGACCTGCAGAACCCATGGAGTATTTAACAGGGCCCCGGGTGATGTACAAAGAGAGAGATCTTCCATACTACCAAGGAGGGCAGCCTGCTGTCCACCCCTCTAAAGGAAACTACTCTCGAGCACAAGATCTGAGGGCAGCAGAATTGCGATACCCCCCGTATTACCCAGCCCAACACCTAACCACCCAGCACAAGGGACCCCTCCGTCAGGATGTCCCACCTTCACCTCCCCAGATGCACAGAGTGCCAGCTTACAATGAAACGAGCCGAACCAGACAGCGTGGGAGCAGCCCGGACCAATACCAATATAGACAGCCGGATTCCAGGCAGAAGAATCCCATGACTGCAGCTGTATAGCCTAAAACTGGACTTTGTCAGCATGGGCTGGGTCGGAGGATTCCTGCTTTTGGTCCTCACAAGCTTAACTGCATGTAGGGATGGCACATGAACTGGAATCGTTCTTACTGATCCGGCCTCAGAATAGGTTCATAGGAATCTTGGGCCATATCAAATTAAGATACAGTGCCTTTTAGGTACGTGAGTTACCTAACAGTCAAATGTTTTAACACCAGTTAAAAATAGAAAGTTATGGCTAAAAAGTAAGTGTGACTGTTAGTACAGCTCAGGGCGATTTACCACATATAGCTACACAGGCACACAGCACACCGTCGGTAAAAGACCAGTGGTATTAGCACGAGAGTCCACGTTGGATCCACACCACAGGAGTATTATATCAGAGAAGCCTTCTCGTGACCTGACACGTATGCAGTACAGTGCTCCCTGCCTGCAAGGCTGTTCTCAGGAGCAAAGAATCTTGTATAGTCTGTGCCACGTCCAGCAGTGAGTTTACACATGATTTCCATGCTGTTCATCTCCCACTTTAACCAGCTGTTTAAAATTTGGGGAATGCCGTAGTCCCTGCTTTTTAATCTTGCCTCTGTCTCCCTCTTTCTGCTTGTTTGCTGGAGCTTACATCTGGTAGCCCTCATATTTGGAGTAGGTCTGCATCAAGTTTATCTGCTTTGCATATTGCTAATGGTACAGTTGGACTCGGAATAATCTTCATCAGCTGTCGGGCAGTTTGGAGAGTATTTATAAAACTACCTTACAAGATAATTAGGGGAAGAGGCACCATCTGAAAAAAGTCTGTCTGTCTGTACCCGTGTGTCTGTCTAATACAGAGCACAGCTCTTAAACGCAACGCCTGGGGGCAGATGTTCAGCAGCTGTCAATAAGTGTAGCTTCCTGGACTTTAGTGGAGCTAATCCTATTTATGCCTGGCCTTAGGCGTGAAGTACGGTAGGGCCATTAAAGATGCTGCTCCATCAAGTATTCAGATGGATCAGGCAGGGCAAATCCACTATTTGCCCCCACTCTCCTCAGGTTTGCATAAAGGTGTCTTCTGGCATATCAGTTAATTAATTCTGAATCTGTAGTTGTAAGCGTCTGTCCTATTCGCCTGCTGTGACCGTGCCTGGCTCCTGCCCTGGGAATTCTCACCTGTTCATGCAGGACCCACTGCATTCAAGAAAGGAAACTCAGCGTCTGGCAGTGCAGATTCCGTGCTAAGTGCCAAATGCCAATTTGCATGGCAGTGACCTGCCAGGGGAGGGGAGAGGAGATTTTAGGCTTTTAAAAGCAACAGGGAGTGGGGAGGAGAATGAGGATGTGAGAGGAGAGATTGCTTTAGAAGCTGGGTACAAAGAAACCAGGAATGAGGAGAATGGTTTGAAACAATAAAGGCTTTTTCAAACACGTAGGAGAGGAGAGAAGCTGAGGTTGATGGAGAAAGAGAAGACAAGGAGAGGGACAAATGGGGAGAGAGGGAGAGAATGTAGGAGAGGGATCTAGCCTCTTTCCCCCAGTTCTCCAAAGACATTGGATTAGGGCAGAAGGAAGAGGAGGTGGCCTGACAGGCTTAGAGGGGAAGTTAAAGATGCCCTGAGGCAGTTTGAAATGTCCCTCCCAGCCATGCGACTTCACAGCCCACAGACATTTACTACCCAATCTAAGCAGGTTTCACTTGCTTGGATGCTTCTCTCAGTGATTTGTCATGTTAAGTACCGCTTAGGGAGCCACAGAGCCTGGAACTGGAAACACATTTTAAGTAGCTTCTGAGCATCCGTAATTCTTCAAGCTCTGGCTTTGGAAGCATCAGAAGCTAATTTGAACCCTCTCCTCTCAGAAAGAGGCCTCAGACCTGGCCTGGCTCACGCCATTTGGTATGCAGCACATGTACCAGGATTCATTACACAGGTCCCCTCCCAATTCATTGGGTGTATATCCCTTTGTCAGGCCTGGTAAGGGTTCATTTGATCTCTAGAGTGCATGGTGAATCTGGGTCTCATCGGTTTACACTGCTGCACTCAGAAAGGGCCCTTCCAATCATCAGATGCATTCCCGTTTCACTCGACAACACTGTGTAGGGTATATGCCACACACAGGCATCGCTGAACAGGCTTTCTGTACTGGGTGGTACTGTGATATACCCAATTAATCAAGATTTGGTAGCCCTAGGATAGCTGCTAGCATGAAGGTCCACCTAAAGTGAAGTGAAAGTGAATTAAAATGTTTTCCTTTTTTTTTTTTTTTTTAAATACATCCCCAAATACAGTTGATCCAGCTGTAAAGAAACTCTGTATTTGTGACAGTGGCTTGATCAAGCCTGACCACAATTAAGAACAGCTCTGGATATAAGCTACTGCCTTATCATTCATTACCCACTAACCCTTCAAATGCTCCTCTGCACAGCACAGCTTACAGAACTCATTTACAGTATTTCATGAGCCAGGGCCAAATGAAACCAGGATGGAAACAGCTTCTGGGTTATTTATGGCCTTTGAAGGGCTTGCTCAGTTGTCTCTATGTAACCTGATGCCTCCTGTGAAAGCTCCCATTGACTGCAATGGCACCACTTGGTTAGGGCACACAGATCAAACAAGCACCTTGCAAGTTGTTAATCTTACCCAACAGGTAACACAGAAGAAACTTAAAAATAGAAAGAAGTAGACACTAATATAATATATATGGATGCATCATATACAGCTGGAAGCTATGAAGGAGAAAACTTCTGACCTTGCTGGGGGACAGAAGCAAAAGGTATTACAGCCCATCTCATTAATCGCGGGGGCTCGTCTGGGCTGATTTAATATCTTGTAGAGGTACAGTATTTGCAAAGTATGATATATAACAACTGTAGATATAGTCTGCTTCTGTGCAATGTAAAATGTACGACTTTAGCACCATATTGTGGAAAATATGTACCGTGCAAATTTCACGAGGTGCTACAACTGACAGTTGAAAATACACCACTTGCAAAATCTAAAAGAGCCGTTAAGTAACAGGTTGCTCTTTTCCCCATATGTCCATATGCTTTGGAGTGTTATGTGTCTGAAATGCTCTTGACACATAGTTGCCTCACATTCCCTCATCAAAAATGTGCCAATCCAGCAAAAACCTTCCTGCCGTGAGAGTTTGCAAGGATAACCCTGGTTACTGCAGGAGCCAGAACACTGTACATGTGCACAGTAGTGGGAGTCAAGATTAAACAAGCAACCTACTTGCATGCCAGGAGGGCTGCTGCGACTCCCCACGCTGCTGGGCTGGGTTGGCCGAGTTGCCACATTGCTTTCTGATTCTGGTGAAGGGGCAGTTGGACTGTGTCTGTGAAAGATTTAGTGATACAAATAGAAATCCGTGACTTTGAGTGACCAAGCACTAGTGATCCACTGACATTGGTCCGTGAGGAAACATTACCACTGTGATAACTACTATTATAAGATGACTCTGGGGGAAAAGGGAGGGACCCAAGAATAAAAACAACCCTTGTTCCCTAAATAATGCACATTGCCCTAAACACCAGCTCACACAAACTAGAAATAGCGTCACATGCTGCCTAATTTTTGTATAGAGCGAAAGTGCTACCTCCTCCTCTTCATAAGCATCAGCAAAGATTTGGTTTTCCGAAATCTGAGTGAATCCCATCTGATTTCTCTTCTGGGGCCTCCTGATCCTGAGGTCTTCCACTGAAATGGAATTGCTCCTCCCAAAATGGAGACCTGTTTACTATCAACATATAAACCAGGATGTTTTGTTGAACCGTCGCTTTTCTCTTTGGTCTTGGCTTTTTTACCTGACTCTGGTTGTGTGTGTTGAATACAAAATATTGTGAAATCATGGGGCACTGAGGGTTCAACACCAAATTTGAAAATAAAAAAATTGGTACCACAAATGATTTTTCATTGTTGTTATATGCAACTATATAAATTTTACCTGTTTTATTTTGCATTAAAATAAAGGCTTTAAGACTATAAACCACCATCTGTTTGCATATTGATTCTCTTGCCTCTTGGCACTTCTGAAGGCTTCAGTTTCTTGGTCTGTGATCTGGGGTGGTCAGGATTTATGGGAGAACTTCAAGGAAAATCTGGCATGGCTGCAGGAAATGGTTATAATGACTCATTACACTTAACTTTGATTCCTTGAGAGCCAGCTTTGAATGAGTGCCCCAGCAGTGTTGTAGGAGATGCTCTGCTATTGGACATTCCAGATGTGTTATAAAACCAACGTCCTGATCCCATGGCACTTTTCACAGACATATTAACTCCTGTCATCTGCTGACTGACCCCCTTTAAGAGGGAACAGGGTCCAGTGTACCTGTGACTGAATCTTATAAAGCAGGCACCTGAATCTTATAAAGGAAGATGTAGCAGAGGCTGCAGAGGAATTGCAGCAAGAGGGGATGCCAGCAGGAGACCCTTGACTAGAAGAAGAGTTTTAAGCTGGAAGGCAGACCTAGAAAACTGAGCTTCGGCTAGGAGTGGCTTTGTGAACAGCAGCCAGGAAAAGAACAAGAGCTCCGGATGTGATAGAGGACTCCAGAGAGAATGAACTTTGGGGATGTGGTGAAAGATTTTATTTTGGAACCTTGCATCTTGTATTTTGAACTGTTCCTGTTATTCAACCAACTCCAGGCAGGGATGATATTGGCCAGAAAAAAGTCTGTGTGGAATTCTCAAGGGCCATGAAGATGTGAAACTGAGAGCCGCTATGCGACGCCTGGCCACTGGAAGATGCTCTTCTTAGCACACATTACCTTCTGATCCACACGGACACCAATTTTGAAAGGTCTCCAGTCAAAGAATTGGGACTTTTAGCTAAAGCTGGATGGTAGATAAAGTGTTGATGCATGTTGCAAATTCCCCCTTTGCTAAAGATAACCGGAGAGCTAGCTAGAGATAGTTAGAAGGCATAGGCAGAGTAGAAAACACAATAATCATTATTTCAAAATAATGTAGTTGCCAGAGAAGCAAGGCAAATTGTTTTCCAAGTTTTCCCAAATGCAGCACTCTACTGCCCTGGGAACTGCGCTCACAGGGCGTAAACTGCATCATGCTTCCATCACTGCTTCCTCTTTGCGTAAAGAAATATGTGGGGTTTTAACCAAGCGAGTCTCATCTATTTTAATGAGTCATGCAGCTAGAACCGCTGAGATTGCATACGGTTACACGACTATTCAATTACATGATATCCAATATCCCTCCTGGGGACAATGCTGTGATCACCGTGTACAAGAGGAATAACTTTGGCATGGGCCTAAAAGGTGCTTTCCAGTGCTGGCAGTGCTCACAGCGAGGGTTGCCAGCTTTCTACTCTCACAAAACCAAAACCCCTTGCCCCGCCCCTGGTCATTCTATTCCCCCTCCCTCTGTCAGTCTTCCCACCCTCATTCACTCATTTTCTCTGGGCTGGGGCAAGAGATTGGAGTGCAGGGTGGGGGAGGTGCAGGTTCTGGGATAGGGCTGGGGATGAGGGGATTTGGTGTAGGAAGATGCTCCAGGCAGGGACTGAGGGGTTCAAAGGACAGAAGGGGGACCAAAGCTGGGACAGGGTGCTGGGTGCCCCTCACCCTTTGTGGCGTAGTGGGGGACTGTCTGCTTTGTAACCCAGGGTCCCCCTGCGCTGTGATGTGAGATTCTCACTGACTCTTCCAAACGTGTATTAACCCAAACACCTAGGCTGTGTCTACACTGGCCACTTATTCGGGAAAAGCAGCCGCTTTTCCGGAATAACTTGCCAGCTGTCTACACTGGCCACTTGCTTTTCTGGAAAAGCACTGACGATCTACTGTAAAATGGTCAGTGTTTTTCCGGAAAAACTATGCTGCTCCCGTTCGGGCAAAAGTCCTTTTCTGGAAAAACTGTTCCGGAAAAGGGCCAGTGTAGACAGCCCAGTAGAATTTTCTGCAAAAAGGCCCCGATCGCAAAAATGACGATCGGGGCTTTTTTGCGGAAAAGCGCGTCTACGTTGGCACGGACGCTTTTTTGGAAAAAGGGCTTTTCCGGAAAAGCATCCCGCCAATGTAGACGCGCTTTTTCTGGAAATACTTATAACGGAAAACTGTTCTGTTTAAAGCATTTCCGGAAATGGGTGCCAGTGTAGACGCAGCCCTGGGCTCAGCCTCCCAGGGAGAGAGACAAAGGGAGAAAGGTGGAGACCAGCACCTGGCTGGAGGGGCCTGGGAGGGAGGCAGTGGCTGTCTGGGAAGCATGGAGAAAAGAGAATAAGCTGGGGGCATAGGGGGATGGACCCCTAACCCTAGGGTCTGAGGCATCCTGGCCCTGGCCCCTGTAGCCACATCACATATGTGCTGTGCTGTATCCTGAAGGAACAATAAACCCCTCTCTAGTCTACGACTGGCCGAGTCTGTTCTTGGGTGCAGGAACGGGGGAACCCCGACTGCGTTGTCACACCCTTACAGCAGCCTTCAACTACTGAAGGGAGGGTCCAAAAAGGCTAGAGAGAGGCTGTTCTCAGTGGTGACAGATGGCAGAACAAGGAGCAATGGGCTCAAGTTACAGTGGGAGAGGTCCAGGTTGGATAGTAGGAAAAATTACCTCCCTAGGAGGGTGGTGAAGCACTGAAATGGGTTACCTAGGGAGGTGGTGGAGTCTCCATCCCTAGAGGTTTTAAGTTCTGGCTTGACAAAGCCCTGGCTGGTTGATTTAGTTGGGGTTGGTCCTGCTTTGAACAGGGGGCTGGACTTGATGACCTTCTGAGGTCTCTTCCGGCCCTAGGATTCTATGATTCTGGTTGGGGGTGCAGACTCTGCTGGTGCTGGGTCTGAGGGGCTTGGGATGCAGGACGGTGATCTGGGCTGGGATTGGGAGAGCCAGGGGATTGGGGATCAGGCATGCAGACTCTGGGGGGTATTTATCTCAAGCTCCAGACAAGCCCCCCTCCAGCTCCTACACGGAGGCAAGGCCAGGTGGCTCTGTGTGCAGCACTGTCCTCGGGCACTGCCCTGCTGCTTCCATTGGCCACAGTTCCCAGCCAATGGGAGCTGCAGAGCTGGCACTTGGGGTGGGGGCAGCATGCAGATCCCCTGGCTACTCCTATGTGTAGGAGCTGGTAGGGGGGACATGCTACAGTTTCTGGGAGCCTGCAGAGCCAAGACAGGTAGGGAGTCTGCATTAGCGCAATTGCACCATGAGCTGGACTTTTGACAGTCCAGTTAGTGGTGCTGACTGAAGCTCTCAGGGTCCCATTCCAGTCGAAAACTGGCCACCCAGCCTCCCTTCTTGCAGCAAAAAATCTAGCACAGAGGGGCCCTAAATGGAAACCGGCTTGCATCACGTTTCCAGAAGAACATCTGCATCTGAAAGAAAATAATTTCTTGGGAAACATGTCCAGTCGAGTAAAACTCCAAAATAAGACATTCAATTGAGAATTCTATATAAAACCCATGCCCTTTGCCTCCAGCAGGTAATGAATAAAAATGCTATAAAGAAGCAATGAGCATTCAATGTTTTATATTTAAAATATGTTTTGTGAGGAAAACAATGCACCATAGAAATGGGACTGAAAGGTTCTCAGAGATAATGCCAGAAACCGCAAGATGTTAACTGCATTGTCATATAAGTTTCAAGGTAGGATTTTAATTTTCTCTTATGAATCATAGAAGCAGTAGTGAAAGCTGCCATTAAAATTCATTAGAAGAAACATAAACTCACATTAAAATCTACCCCATTCTTTGAATTCTTGGTCCTATTAGTATGAGCTGTCGGCTACTCTGCCAAGCCTCACCTACACTGTGTGATTTAATCTAGGAGCTGCTCTGCTGAATTGGAGTTTTTCATGCGTCACATCTGTGAATCCAAGGGGGTGGGGAGGAGAAGGGGGGGTTTAAAAGCCCCACAAAGTGCTGCTTTAAATTGCAGCTTAGATTTTAAAAGCAGAAACCTCATGCTTTAAGAGCCTGGGTATGTCCATGTTTTTCTGTGCATACAGAAGAGCAGCAGGTTTGAAAAGGTGACTTGAAAATAAAAGAGGAAATATGCCTCGCTGCATATTGGCCCCTATTGGCCCCACATCCAGTTTTCCTGTTCAAAATGCTCCCAGCAGTTTTCTCCTAAACACAATGAGCCCAGTTCAGACATGTAATATTCATGTCTAGGGATCTGGCAAAATGGGGCACAGTCAGGTTATGAGGGGCCAATGGCAGGGAAGGGCCTCAGTATGAATTACATATCACAAAACAAATTATTAAGTCATCATATTTGCATAAAATTAAAACATGTATTTACTAAATTCTTCAAAAAATGTTGTTTTCCTAGCGTTAGCTGTTGCAAAGTAATGAATTGTGTCATTGTAATTCAAAGACCTGACAATTTCCTTCTCGGTGCCCAAGAGGGACAAAGCACTGAAGTGTTCTTGAGTCATGGCAGATCAGAGGACATTTTAGACCCTTGTTAGAAGAGAGAAGGAACAGTCTTCACTACAGTTACTGATCATTAGTGACAAATACAACTGTAATATGCAGTTTCAACATATGGGAAACATTCTCTCTCACTGGGTTCAGTGATAACTGGGTGCATACAAATAGATACGCTTTCGCCATCTTTTCTTTCTCTGAGAGTGATGAGAATTCCACAAATTGAAGAAATTCTTTACTTAAATTCTACTGGAAGAGTATCTGGGTACTTCCGACACAGATGTAGATAGTGTCGTCTTTGCCAACAATCTAATGAATCCATTACAGTTAGTCTTTGATAGATGTGATGAATGGTCTTTTCCACAATTTGAGTGTTCACTGATGTGCTGAGCTAAGAAAGGGTCGTACTTTGCAATTAGCTCTAGAACACCAAGTTAATGTCCATTGTGTTTAGATCCAACAGTCTCATCTGAGCCACAAAATGGCAGACCATGGTTGGCAAGAAAAACTATGGTTTCAGCTTTGCACGAGAGAATTTTCTTCCAAGAAGCACGAGCTTCCCAAAACTGGTTTTCAATTTGCGTTTCAATTCTACCACTAATTT